CAAGGTAGCAAGGGGCATCGTGTGGACCCCGCTGAAGCATTTCGTGTGATTAATAAGGTCCCCTCGAGCTACCCTAAGCTGCTGGGCCAGCGCCTGTTAGCAACAGCAGAAGCGGCCGCCATCAGGTTACGAAAACCGACCCTATGCGTCCAGAAGAACCTCGTTCAGGCCCCGCGCTTACCGTGGTCAAAGGTTGACTAACCACATACAACTTTCTGCGCCCTTCCGTTCTTGCCTAGCCTGTATTTTAAAAACTAACTTTTGTCGATTTTTGTTTCACTCACTGTACCCCGTCCCATATAACTGTACTGGCCTGATGAGAAGTTATGGAAAGCAACGTTCGCTCGCCACCTTTTCTTCCGAATGATGAAACAGTTAAATTGGGCTAATAGATGAGGTTGTACAGCCTACCGTTACCGAGAGAAGAACCTGTTTAGGGCGTTAATGAAAAAAGAAAACAGTAAAACAGAGGAAAAGAGCTCGGTATTACCGGTCACCGGGCAGATCCTTGTACTCCTCAGGGAGCGCATCTGCCGAAAGACCGATGCGTCGGAGCAGCAGACGTCGCCACAGGGAGTAGAGTTTGGGCTTGTCCTCGGGTCGATAGGGTCTCACGAGGTAGGGTCGACGGGGCTGGAAATAGGCGGGTCGCTGGTCCGGAGTCTGCTCGAGGAGTCGCTTGCACTCCGGCGGATCAGTCGGCTGCGGTGGCGGCGGTGGTGGTGGTATGGGAAAAGTGCAGGCAACGCTGCCAGGCTGTGGAGGAGGCATAACTGCTACAGGTGTCGTGGTCAGCAGGGGGCCCACACGACTGGGTGCTGGAAAGAGGTCCTGCGCCGACTCCAGAGGCAGGATGCGCTGTACGGGGCAGAAAAAAGAGGAAAATTGTCTGTCAGCTGAGTGTTGTTTTTGGCGCCAATGGCCAATCAAACGCGATGGGGCGGGCTCGAGCCTTCCGTCTCCATGCTAGTGCATAACTCAACCGTCGTCGTCAAGCACCCATAGGCATAAACGCATGAGATAGGCAACTGATCAGTTTTCCAAGGCCTTCGGTCGCCTAAAAAACGCTTCGGTGGTGGCTCTTCCAATGGTGGTTGCGGAGGCGACTACAGGAAGGGCGGGGGGAGGGGTGGCTTCCCGCGCTCCCTGGACTAGCGGGGCGGAAACCTGCATTCACCCTCCCAAAAAACGAGTTCATTGTTCCAGGATTGCACAGGGCGGCAAATAATGGTTCGCTGTAGCGTAATACCGCTGTGACTATTTTATATGTGGCCGATATGCCTGAAGGTATTGCCGATGGATGGTCCGCGACTGTGTATTTGACACACGCAGCAACTCGAGAATTTCAGAGCTTGCCTTAACTCAAGAGCGTCATACTCTCGGCCATCTGCGAGCACGTTGGATAGGCCGACCGGCTCCGTCTCCCAGGTGTTTTCGTCGTTCTAGCTATTGCTGGCCGATTACCAGTAGACTGTGAGGGTGGGAGATAGTCGGAGACAGAAAAGAGAGAGGGACCGACATTGGGAATCCATTCACATGGAAGTTGGCCTACTACTCGCTACACTAAAGCTGACAGGCTTCAACCACGTACGTCGCGCTAAAAGTCGCGGCTAGGAAAGATGTCTACTGGCGGGGCAAATCCGATCTCGGGCCACGGGCCACGTGTTAGATGCACTGGACCAGCACGGGGGCCACATCGTACTCTGGCAGGCGTTATCGGTGCGCAATAACAAATGCCAACACTTGCGGGGTGCGCTGGCAGACCCTGTTGTCGGCAATCGTCGTACAACTGGACCACTGCCACCACCCCTTTGTTTTGTGGTCAAAATCCTGGTCATTTGTGTGTGGACCAGGGGGTGCGGAGTGGAGCGCCAAGGCGAGGATCCGTCCAAGCCATCCATCTGCGGCCTACCCCGTCTCCACTTTTCTTGACTTGGTCTTGACACCATGCCCAGGCAGGGGAGGAGGAGAGAGTGTAGGTAGACGCTACGCAAGTCTACTGGCAATATAAACCCCTGCGTAAGTCACCGTCCCTGCTCCCACAATGCAGTATGTGGGGCACACGGTGGACATAATCGAAATCGATGGTCGAACTGTCGTGTGTGTGTGTGTGTGTGTGTGTGTGTGTGTGTGTGTGTG